GCTACTAGGAGCAAGGACGCTGCTAGGGGCTCCTGGCCATACTACTAACAAGAAGCTACTATTGGGGAGTTCCGAAATTCCCATCTGGGAGCGATCATTAGGACAGGGCATCGGTCTTGTTTCCTCATCGGTTTTCAGTGTATGCTCAATGTAAGACCTACTGGCAAACAGCTTTGGACGGTTCCGACGTTTTTGGACGGATCTCAAATCCCTCTGTTTACGCCTCCAAAACTAGACCCACAATGACCCGCAATATCCCAGCTTGCCTGGCTTTTCCCACCGCCTTCGCTTGGCCACCTACAGGTGCAACAGGCACTGTTCTCTGTTGTTCAGTTCCTAGGCACATCTTGGCACCTTCCGTTCCTCCTTTGCCCGGAAGATGCTGGACAAAAGGTTGGAAACCTCAACGGATAGGTTTTCGCTCACGAACAGCTGGGCTCCACGGGCTTTCCGAACGAAAAGACACAGCTGAAGCATTTCGGAAGCGCTAAGACCAACCTCGAGTTGCTCCATGTCACTGATGAGGTTCTCAATGAAGTTCTCCTAGTCTTTTCGAAGAAAACACATTGGGTCACTTGGAAAATCAAGTGGTTCAGCCAGCTGTTCCGGGAGTGTGCCATGTGTTTTTTCGGTATTGGTACAGCACTTACAGGGCATTCCTCACGCAATCACATCGGATACACCCATGGCTTTATTAGGGGTTTGCGCGCGATCCTGCCAACATGACATGGCGTGTTACTCTTGCCATATTCTTCTGCTCTTCTCATTTTCCTCAGGACTCAGGGTCTTTGCCGTGATTATGATGTCTTTCCCATATGTTTCAGGCTGAAAAGCTTCGCACGGTCGCAACGGTCCTGGCGGCCAGCCTTCTTCTGCGCTTTCTCCACCCGCCTACCAGCAGGCAGAATAATCATACCACACTATGTATAGAGATTTCATTCATGCACCGTGGAAAAAACACATGCTCACATCATTTGACATACACTGGACATAGAAACATACAAGACCCGTCAATGCGTCAATAATGTCCATCAACTGCTCTGCTACACTTCATGGTTCATGGTCCAAGTCACTTGTCTGCAAAGCTCTGACAAATTCAGGTCGCGTAGAAAGCCAAGGAACTTGTGGAGTCGATCTTGCTCCCGGCGCAGCATCGCCTTCCAATCTTTCGAGATCGAAACGAGCTCGTTCTCCTCTTTCAAATCGCTTATCCAATTTGTTCGTCAAATATCCTCTTCTATATTATGTATCCTATCCAATGTTCTTCCAAACTCTGCTTACGCATCTGCTATGCCTGTTCCTCAACGAACTCATTGAGCAATGAGCGCATGTCCTCTACTTGCAAGAGAAGTCCGTTTGGAAACGACTAGCCGCTAGCAGCCGGACGCCGAGTCACGATTAGCCGAAGGGGCTGTTGCGATGTTTCAACTCGGAAGTCGAGAGAAGTGAGCAAATAAGTCGCAAATGGCTCAAGTACCGTAAATTAGCAGAAGTAATAAGATGTAATAAGTAGCTTCGCACCAGACAACTTATCTTCTCCTCACAGCTGCGCTCAAGGCGCTCGCAGGTCACGCGCAGGTCTTGCTCTGACATGGAGTTCAGCAAGCCAGCCTTGAAAGTGTGCGGCATCTTCGTCTGAGTCTGATGAGAACAGGCTGACCAGTGATTGATGCGGAGAGTGAACGAGTCTTTCTGGATTTGCCACGAACTTGACGATGCCAGGAGCCCCTTGTAGCGTTCTTGTCACACCAATATTAGGCCTTAGGCCAATGTCCTCAAGATGCATGCAACTCTGAAGGGGCCTCGCTCATTGCTGGCTGCGCCATGGCGTCAAATTGTTCCCTCGGGCACTGTTAATCGGCAAAAACAAAACAAAACTCGAACCACAATGGGAAAGGTTGAACCAGTTTGTTAAAACAGGAATCATTTCAAGGTCTAAATGTGCAAAACCAAATATATGACAACAAAAACAATCACATAAGCTGGAAGGTGAAGGGGCTGCAAGTGTCTTTGGCTTTGTGGCTGATGCTATGCAGCCCTTCAGAGCCAATATGAACCCAGCTCGGCTCACCTGACAAGCTTCCTTCACCAATTGCGAACTTCTAGCAAATTCAAGAGCTGCCAAGCGCTTTCTTTCCGCAAAACGAGACCTGATGGATGTCTTCTGCAACACTCTCCCGCAATCCTTTAGGATCAGCTCATTGTCGCAAGAGATGCCAGCTATGCTGTCGAACGAACGAGTGTCCGATCGTGTCCGATGTCGCGAGCAGCGAGCAGTGAGCTGGAGTGAGCTGGAGAGTCGCGCACGAAATGGAAAAGAGCCACAGGCTAAACGCAGTGCGCTGAAGACACAAAGCATGCGTGGCACGCAGTATGCTGTGGCTCAACTGGGAACTCATGCTCTGGCTCTTCCATCAGTCACGCTTGAGCCTCATCTGCTCTTGAGAGTGAGGCATCTGCCATGGTAGCACTATCACACATGCAATATGAAAGAAGAAGACACTGCTTTCGATAAAGGAAAGAGAACATCTTCTCGTCATGGGTTTTCATGTCTCAGAATAGCTGTCTTTGAGCAAAACATACCTTTTCTGAAGCAGTCTGTCAAAAGACCCATACGTTAGTCTGTCAAAAGCGCCCCTGAATAGGGTGGTTCATGTCAGTGCCAACTGATAGAAAGGCTGCTGCTTGGACAACACGTTTTGGAGGATGTTAAGATGGAGACCATCGCTAGTAGGTTGGAGGCCATCGCCAGTAGGTTGGAGGCCATTGCTATTAGGATGGAGGCCATCGATAGTAGGTTGGAGGCCATCGTAGGTTGGATGAATTTGCTCTCCGGATTGGCATGAAGAGTTGTGCACCCTGTGCGAACCCTGGCGGTCTCTGCCATTGAGAGGCAACTGCTGCAGCAACAAAGCAACGGAATGCTTTTGGTAAAGCCATGAAAAGTGGTGATCATGGTGATCTATTTGTACAACTATTTGTTGTTTCCCTCATACTAAGGTGGCAAACGGAAAAAACCGTGTACCCACTGTCGCTGAGTTGCCGTATGGAAAACACCAGGTGGATCTCCGTGGGTCAGAGTCCACGGAAGGTGCGGATTCGAGGCTCCAGGATCTGAAGTCCTTGACATACGCAAACCAACTGTACTAGTAGCTTCTTGTTACTAGTAGTAAGGCCAGGAGCTACTAGTAGCTCCTAGTAGCGATGCCCTTTGTTGCTAGTAGCTTCTAGCCCTTATAGCATCTTTTGTATCACAAAAGTATTACTACATAGAGAAGTATCTATGATATTAAAATAGTGTTTTCTAGGTATAAGCTGCTTGCATCTTTTTGCATTGCTTTCATTTCTTGCTACACATCATAGTAGGTCCTCTACCACGGTTAGTGAAGTCCAAGTCGTACGAACCAGGAGACTCATAACTACACGGCCTCACTCGGTGAGTAGATGCCTTTAGACGCGACGACTATATGTTTTGACCTACAAAAAGAACTGCCAAGAAGAACTAAGAAGTACGATGTGCCACAATGCTGCAGCAAGGATCGGCATCCACTTGTTTCCACCGAAAGCCGCAACTTGACATCCGTTGATGTCGATCTGAGAGCTTTCTGAAAGAAGTCTTGGCATAAGAATATATAATATATATATATAAGAATGGCTTCTGGACAAAATCGGGTTATGTCCGCTACACTACACGCTGCATCCAGTCAGAAAGCTGTCCATCCGTAGATGGTTCAGGGGTGCTCTCACATCCCCTCGGCAGCATTGCCCATCGGTTTTTCTAGCTTGGAACCGAGAATACCACTTTATAGACAAGGACAAATCCAAGCCTTCCTATGCCAGCCATTGTAGTGCAAAGTCTATGTCTTTGGTGTACCTTGATCAATTCTGAGCACCCGGCATGTTTGCATTCACAAACCTGACAGGTGATGGGGCATGGCACAGTTCGGTTCTGCTTTGCAAAGCAAAGTTCACAGCAACCTTTTCCGTCAGCCTTCCACATGGGATGTCGGCATAGCTGGTGTTACTGACCTCAATATGCAAGATTTAGACCAGGTGTTCGTCTATGTCCCTGTCTTGCATCACAATTATGATCCTGCTTCCCTGAAATGAAAGTCTGCTAGTGGCACAAGTGCCTGCACTTGCTGAACGGAAACAGGAAAACAGCCAATGAGCCAATGAGCACAGTGATTGCAATATACTGAAAAGAAAAAAATAACATCCTGCTCCGGCCCGGGCGTGGGCCCCTTAGCTTGCTCAGCCTCAGATTGTGGATGTAGAAATGTCAAAACGAGGATGGTTGACAGTGCAGTGTAGGATGTGTTTCCTGTTTTCTTAAAGCAAATCCATGCAGGTTTTGGCAAGCCTCTTGATAGTCTGGAGGTGGTTCTGGCACACCTGCAGACAGATCACGACCAAAGCGGTGCAGAATTGAAAAGAAATAGAATTATTGATTGATGCTTAATTACAGTAGATGCTTAGACTCATTAGACAAAAGACTCTGCACAGACTCATTTGGCCACTAGAATCTACGAACCGATTCAACTTAGTCAGGAGCGCAAGCCTAAGTTGCATGGGAATGAATGCATTATTTGACTTGCACTAGTCCCATCATGGTACACATGGTTATCCGATTATATATCCCTTCATAATGGTTTGCTGCGATGATCGCATCCAATTCTTAATTAAGAGTGACCTTGGATGTATATGCGGAGGACTGTGGACACCTGCGAAAACAGTGAAATCTGAGCTGGTTCCCTCAACAATGCGAACACCATAAGTCAAGACCTGCTTCATATTGTCATGAACGCACCTAGTTACTAGTTCTCCCAAATAGATTGGAACTCTAGAGTTGCTCCCACAGGAGCCGAAGCTAGCATCCGCACCACGACCCAATCCGCGACCACGAGTCAAAGCTCTCAACGCGAGGAGAAGAAAACGTATTCTGTTTAAAAACAATGTTCCAAAGTTCATCAAGCCCTGAAATGATCTAAGAAAGTTTGTCTGTCTCCACAAATCCCCGGCGTGCCATCATCTTTGTTGGCAGCAAGCTGATCAAGGCGTTGGCGCATCGCTATGTTGCCCTGCCTGGGCAACGACACTGCACACATGTGAAGAATTCCGGATCCTGGTGTGAGCAACAAAAGATTGCATGCTTGGGCTCATGCTCACGGCGTGCACGTAGGTCAGCGCTTGCAAAAGCCTCCGCTGCACTTGCACAGGAATACAAGCAAAAACTGAGGACGCGACTTCTGCGCCAACTTTGGAAAACTGGTTGGCAACAAAGTCTTGTCGAAAAGTCTCTGAGGGAGCCAAAAGAAGCGGCACCAAATCACAACAGCTCATGCGACAAGCATGCCGGCCACTGGACTTCTACAGCCGAAGTCAGAGTTTGATGAAGGAGGCAAGGTATTCCTCCACCTAATAGCGTCCTTGCTACTAGTAGTAATGGCCTCCAACCTAATAGCGATGGCCTCCACCTAGTAATGTGCATTGTGGAAGAATGGCATTCGAACAGCGTTGGATTAGGGCCTGATGTACTTAAGATTGGGGTGATTCTGTACATAAAAGCTAAAGAGCTGGAATCACAGTGTGTTCATGTCTTTGCTCCGACCTTGACAGCTTTGCTCACTGCGAAGCCGGCATTCCGGAGCTCTGGTCTCAGAGGATCCTCCTACATGTAGTACAAGCATAATAGATCAATCTACACCTGTATATATATATAATCTATATGTGGTTAATCTATATATGGGTTCAAATATAGTTCGTTCAGAAGGTTTGGTAAGAAGGTTGTTAGGAAGGCATTCACCACCGCAATGAATTGTCTTCTAGGCCAGTCTTTTCCTGTATCATAGTGACTTGGAATTGAATCAAATCATCAACCATAGCTTGAAATGTGTGTCTGTTTGTTGCATCTGCATGCATATGCTCGATTGGCATATGAACACAACGTGTAAGTACTTGCTTCGGACGTGTGCGAAGGCACAATGGTCTTCACTTTGTCACAATGGTGTGTAACTCTGTGCAACTGTTTAGACTCTTCCGGTAGCTTTCTTTGTGACGTGTCTCAGTCCTGCGACTCTTCTAGCCTTGGCAAACACAAGCAAGTGAACATGCCTGGTCATAATCCAAAAATGGCATTGGTTCCGATTCTTTAAAGTCTTTTTTGCTACTAGGAGCAAGGACGCTACTAGGGGCTCCTGGCCTTACTACTACGAACAAGAAGTTACTAGGAGCAAAGGGCATCACTACGAACGTAGCAGTCCACTCAAAGATCCCGGAAGATCTCACAACCGGCGGCTTTGGTTCAAGGGGGTCAAGAACTACACAGCTCCCAGGATGCAGGCAGACGTTCGTAGTGTAGGATAAAGCCAGCAGCCGCCCAGCCAGTGAACCTTCAAAAAGAACATGGAAGACACAAACACCACAGCTGAAACGATATGGTTCAGAATTCGTCAAGCATGTTCAACTGCTTCAATATTCATGTAGCACAAGACCATTCACATCAAAGGAGGTTTATCTCAGCAGCTGCGGAGCTACTCTGGTTCCGATATCTCAGACCCATGTACATAGGCAATTCATGGCAATTCGTGTTTTGCGAAATGATTGAACTCGGGACGCGCGTGTTGACCGCAAAAGCTACCTCGCTACCTTTGCGAAAGCGCTGCGGGGCGGGAAGAGAGGACAGGGGCCAGATGGTCTCAGGGCTTGTCTGAGCCCAGAGGTACTGATGGGGAAAAAATGCTGAAGCCCTTAAATTTCATCGGCATGCATCGGATGTGCGCTGCGCGAGAAGAATGGGCATGTCCAAAGAAACATAATAGTTACTAGTTTCTGGCATGACTTCTGGTGATCAATGCCACATTGTACAGCTCAAGTCACAAAGCACTGCACTTCACCGAATCACAAATCAACACGCTTCGCTTCAACACATCACAAATTACCACTACACTTCCTCGCATCATCATTGCCTTTACACGTGACATCATCACATTGCACATCACTCTCCTATAGCTACTATCATTAGTGGAAACTTCCGCGATCTGCTGTATGTTCCCTGGCGATTGAAAAGAGAGAAACAAAACAACTAAAGGACAGTAGAAACAGCTACGATAAATCGAGTAGTATGTTCAGAATCTGCCCTCATAATATCACTCAATCACCTGATATACTTCACTTCAAAAGTCAAGGGCCAATAGGCCAATCAGCAATTCGCACCTGTCTGCAATGGTAACCTGCGCTGCGGGATTGGCCACCTTGAGTTTCTCGGAAATGAATTGTCTCCGTTCTAAGAAGCAAGAAGCTACTAGTGGCTAGAAGCTACTTCGCTCTTAGGTTGGAGGCCATTACTACTAGTAGCAAGAAGCTCACGTGCGGAAGCACCAAAGTGAACGCGTTCCGGTGTTCGACATAAGGATGCAGCGTACTCTGCTGTCTGCCGCGTATCTGCTGGATTTGGCAAGGCATGACCTTCCTGGTCCGAGGAGGTGATTTCTCGTGTTGCTTTAAAACAGAAAAATAAGAATAGAAATATAACACATGTTCCAACAACTACACTTGACTCTCTCCTGTCTCTCGGTCTCCACCACAATCGGGCCACCTGGAAACCGCATCCGCCTCAGCGTCGCAGTCCGCTCCAAATCGATGCATTGCGGTATTGCGCTGTTTGATCCAAGTTGGATGCATTGCCAGCTCAACAAACGGCTGCAATTGGTTTCCTGGGATTTCTCCAAGCACTTGTCTGCACAAGCATCGGAAACACTTACAGGTCGCAAAAATAGTCAGCAGGAGAGTCCTGAGTCTTGCAAAAGCCACTGCCGGCACCCAGCACTGAACTTTCCTGAAGTCAACATATAGACTCGGATTTTGATCATCTTGAAGACTTTGAATGGAAGCCGTGAAGCCACGTGATCAAACATGTCAGAACAATTCACAACCTCGGGTTTGTCCAAGGACACCAGCCTGGAGGTGTAACTTTTGGCCTTGGAAAAAATCTGTGCAATCTAATTCGCTTTCAATGAATTCCTCTTACCGTGCGTACCTGGTTTCTTGAGCAAAAATACGCTGGCGCTTTGCTTGGTTTCACTGAACAAGCACACTTTTCCGATGATTGACTACCTTGTCACTTGGAATCCGGACTCTTCTGCCTTGCTCTCCGGTATGATACTACCGGCCTTAAGGAGCTTCTGTCAACATCGCAGTGCAAGTGCAAACACAGTGCACTGTGAAACCATCCGCACAACATACACATACGGGACGCAAGGCTGCGCATCTTTCAGATCCAGGCCAGGCTATTTGGTGGGCATGGACCCTCCTCACAAGCAGCACAAAGCACAAACCACAAAACACGGTGCTCTGAGCGCCTCCTTGTCAGAGGACATGGGTGAAGTCGGCGAACTGGTGTCGCCCGGCAAGGTCTGCGAGTCGCCACTCACAGCGTCGTCTCTCTCGTCGAAGGTCGGTCACTCGTTTTGTTCCTTTGTACGTTCTTAACGTACATCTTCCAAACAAATGCGCCGTAGAAAGGCGACCCAACTACGCACTCAAGCTCAACTGTGCAAACATGAACGACCCAGTGGCTAAGTCCAGTGGCCTGCGTTGCATTTCTGGGCAAAAGAAAAAGAATTTAAAAAGAAGAGCTCTTGGATTGAAATCCAGCATCTTCTTTCCCTTCTCTCTTTCTCCCAACTTGTTCTTTGCGACGCGGAAAAAATGCACCAACGATTCCCTGGCGGATTCCCTGTCTGTCGATGCTCCTTCAACGACGCATACGGATCCATGGCAGCTGACCTCGAGAGCTTGGAGACGTCCGTCTCATCGCACACACGGCATGCACGCATGGCACGGCCGAAGCACTCTGTCTGAGGAGCTCACTTGCGCAAGGTCTCGTCTGGGTCGTTGTAAAGCTGAGCAAACCTCCAAGCTACAAACAGACTGGATGATTCTTGCCTCTGAATCAAACAACAACTTATGTGTCACATCAATTTCCATATAATATCATACAACCAAAGCATACCAAAGCCCCACCTCTCAAACATGCCCTTGATATCTTCATTCTTCTCAACCTCGGTGAAGGCAAGTTGGCGTTCGGTCAAATCTTTGAGCTTGAGATACAAAGGCAAGGCACTCGAAGCACTCGCAATGAATAACTGAAACGATTACAGCACGAACTTGTTTTTGTTTGAAGTCCAGGATGGTTTCCCACATCTTGAGGGAGCAGACCCAATTGGCAAAGTGTGCCGCCAAAGAAGTCGACAATGATCCCATGGTCGGTTGCCCAGCTTTGGAACGCCTTCGGAATCTTCAATCTGTCCATCTTTGTTCTGAATGCTGAGAAAAAAAGGGTGGGACTGTGGGGCATCATTTGGCCACTCCGGATGTGCAAACGTGGTCTTTCTGCAATTTTTCTCGGGCCTCTTGTCAGGCTTCCTTCGGAAGCCACCTGGCACACAGCCTGGCTGGTCTGCGAGTCTTCGACTGTTTGGTTCTGATCTCCGAGGCTACCACAGCAACCACCGCAGCTGCCAGTACCTTAAAGAAAGAAGTCTAACAGAGCGACCACTGCAATCGCTTCTACAAACAATGCTTTGGGGGTACAAACTGCATATATGATTTTAGTGCATATGTTAAAAAGCCCCACATCCTGTATGTGTATGTCATTATGTGTGTGTGTGTGTGCAAAGTGTATTTGTGGTCTGCAAATGTATGTGCACATAGCATGTTGGATTGCATGTTGCATACCATTGTAATGATGAGTGCAAGTTGGCAAGTGTAGTCGGCACCTGCTCTGCTCTTCAAGCCCTTCCATGTTGCTATCAATTGCTATTACAATGATTGCTATGATCATCTCAGGTCGCGAGTTCAGCTCCTTTTTCAGCTAAAGCCTTTCATGCCTTCCAAGTCTTAAAGAAAGAAAGAATGAATGAAAAAGTCTGTCTAAAGGACTAAGGAACAGGAAAGAAGAAACAGACCCTCCTATTGGTCTCTTCTCGTTGTGTTTCGTTCAGGTCTCCGGACCCTCACCGGAGCTTGGCAGCTGCCGAAGGCGATCGGAGTGCACAAGGCTCCACTGGGCCAAAGGGGGAGGGTTACAACAAAGTGAACGATGTGAAAAAATAAACCAAAAATTAAAATATATATATATATTATATAATATATATAACAAAGGAAAACATGGACGACGAATGTCATGAGAAGATTACACACAAGGGGTGAACCTGGGGCTTCGTGGGAGTGATGAGACAATACGAATCGGGACGTGACAGGCATTTCTCTGGCCTCTGTGAGACATCGGAAGTGAGCTTGCGATGGCGCAAAGATCCACAAAGGAACCTTGGCACATCCGCTTAGCCCTATGTCAGTGACTCGCAAAGATGAAACTTCGTCACACAGACGATGAAACATGTTCGGATTTGACCCTTTTCCACCGCGGTTCCAAGGCCGATGCTCGTAGAAACTGCGAACTGGGCACGGAAGCAAATGCTCAGAACAGACCGAGAACCAGCTCTGAATGATTTGCGATTTGCTTTGTGACCGTTTTTTTGGAGCCGTTGGAGCTCTCCTGCCTGGAGTCGAAGTTCGGTTGAAAACTACGATGGCCTTGATGATCAATGCAAAAAGGCCCAAAACCTCGGATCGACATGGCCTCCACAGGCAGAAACACGGCCGAATCGGGAGCTCCGTACGGTAGCGCACATGGTCTCCAGTTGGCAAGCTGACCTGGCCAAAGGGCAGCAGCTGGGGCTTGTAGATCTTGTAGCTGTGTGAGGAGCAACGGAACGTTCAGCTTTGACAGGTTTCTGCCACAAAATGCTTCCAGCTGAATTCCTCAAGCACTCCGCCTCCTCCCATAAGCATAGTAAGGGATCGCAGGCCCAAAACTCTGCTTCAACGAAGTCCACGATCTGCAAAAAACAATTTGAACTGAAAAGGATCAAGAAGAAAAATATTCAATCAAGCACGTTATGTGTATATATATATACACAAAATATATAGCTTCAAATACTGCATGGCAAAGCTCCCACAACTAACTAGAGTAGCTTCCTGGACAGGACGTTGACTTTTTCCGCAAAATGTGAAGAGTCCGTAGCTGCCGCGCTCCAGCCTCATCCACCGTCCGGTGCTCCAAGCCCTCAATTCTTGCGAGCTGCCTTGAAGGGAAACGAAACAAAGAAGACCAAAAGGCCAGTAGCGTCCGACCGCTCCGTTCGTAGCGATGCCCTTTGTTCCCAGTAGTTTCTTGTTCCTAGTAGTAAGGCCAGGAGCCCCTAGTAGCGTCCTTGTTTATTTTGGAAACATTCACCAAGAGATAATGGTAACAATAGGTAACAAAATGATGCACAACCCAAAAGAATAATATCTATCTCTGCCTTTGCAGCCGCTGGAGAAATTGGCTCACGCGTGCAGCACACGTGCGGACCATGCCTGTGGAAAGATTCTTGAAACACGGAAAATTCTGCTGCCCAAATGCTCTCAGAAGATCAGCAGACAATAAACAAGCAAGTGCCTTCAGGATCACAGAAGGCTTTCTCAATGTCCTGGAAGGCTGAGTCCACATGTGGGGGAGAAAGTAGCAGCCAGGTTCTTCATCACTGACATTTGTGCTCAGACCTTATGCTACTAGTAACAAGGGCATCGCTACTAGTAGCAAGGTCGCTACGAACGTAGCTCCTGGCCTTACTACTAGGAACAAGAAGCTAGTGGTAACAAGTGCATCGCTACTAG